TTCAGAAGAGTAAACGTTGTGATTGAGGCTCAAATGATAAAGGATTTAGAGTTTAAAAATAAAAGCAATTACCCGCAATGTCAATATGATAGTGTGTTCCCATTGAGCTAGTGACCTAATATTTACAGCGCAAATTACTACGTTACCGTCAAAGCTGTAAGCCTAGTAGATGATATTCCCAGCGTTATATCAAGTTACGTGATACGTACTGCATACATGTTTTGCTCTAAGGCGGTGGAAAGAACGAGCTTGATACGGTAGTGTTACGTCGAGGCTGTTGGGCTGAGACGTATTCGTACGCCATATCAAACAAAAGGATTTCTTTACCGAGCGATTTCAACCCTGGCGTGAATCCCGCTAGAAGTCACATGTTTCCCTTAAAATCTTCAAAGGACTCCTATACAACTACTGTTGCAAACTGAAAATTCCAATGCATCTATATTAAAAACAATTTTATTTAAATTAAAAAGTGACCACAAATCTCAATTAAAACATAACCACAAATCTCACAAGTTCTCATTTAACCTCAAAACTGCATGGTTTCTCCTCATTACATAGACGTAATGTAGCACCAGTATTGCACGCAATGAAAATATACAACTCAACTACCTAATATATGGAACTATTTTTACTGCGCCACCTTAGGCCAGTCAAATTATGGTTTGAAGCCTCGTTTCGTCTGTAATTCTACACCATATTTAAAATCATAACAACAATATACTGCGCCTCCTGATGACGGAACAGTTTCTCTCGTTTATTCCATTGTGCATTATACCAGTCCCCAATCATAAATACTGCATATGGAGTCACACAATCAATCCCCACAATTACATTTTAATATGTACTATAGAACTCAGACACTCATGCATCTCTGACCTGAATTCACTACAACTAAGGTTCGACATCCTGAAATTTCACCAGTGCTTCACTCCGTGAAGCTTGCTTCTAGTAATTGCATAGTGATTTGGTCTGAGGACTATATCCAAGTCACCGTCTTCCAATAATCAAACAAGTAATCACAAAACTCGAAACAAATCCTTAAAATGGAGAGTTATAAACAACTGTGCATACTCCAAATTTATTCCATTATTATTGTAAAATGCTGGCCAATCTTTTCTTTTGTTGTCCATATGCATGAATTAAAAAGAAGAATCTTTCACCAATTTCAGTATCAAATGAAATCCGATTACCAGCATGCAAAAATATTACCATCATTAATTTATGTAAGCAACATACAATTAGATGACCATCGTGCAACGTGATAACAATCGGACAATCGCATTACCATCATGTAATCAAATTATCATCATGCGATCTGATTACCATTATGCAATCATATTACCATCATTCATTCAGGTAAGCAACATACAATTAGATGACCATCGTGCAACGTGATAACAATCGGACAATCGCATTACCATCATGTAATCAAATTATCATCATGCGATCCGATTACCATTATGCAATGAGATAACCATCGGGCAATCGTACGACCATCATGCAATCAAATACCATAATGTAATCCAATTATCATTACTGAAATCTCATTACCATCGGGCAATCGAATCATTATACGCATTTAGATTACCATCATTCGATCGTATTACCAGCATAAATTCAGATACCATCATGTAATCCGATTACCATATAAGCAGATAATCATCGTGCAATTAGTTTATTATAATGCAATTAAATTACTATCCACAGTTTTTTGTCAAAGGAATTACATGTTTAAAGAAATATATGTTACATGAAAATGTTAAATAAAACTTCAGTCTTCAAGATGATCTGGCCAGATTAAAACATTTTGACATTCTTTACCTCTTTACGTCCTATAGTTCTGACTCATATCGCTACCATGTGTGGTAGTTTATAGGGATTCCTAGCACTGGGGCATCATGACGCAGACATATAGCATGATGTCCAACCCAGTCACATTATCCTGACACCTGGCCGACAAGTCCTAACAGCAACCTCTTAATGCTGAACGCCAAGCGAGGCAGCTGTTAGTACCATTTTTATAAGTCTTTATAGTATGATTTGTCCGAGGTTCGAACCACGACTATAGTATCCGAGGCGGACGCTCTAAACACAAGATCACTGGAACTGTCCGTGGGCTAAGTGTGAAAATGCAGCATTATATGTTCATAATATTTGCCAATCTAGTATCAAACTTATATCAAAACAAAACGAACTCGTTCCTTTGCAGCTAGGTCTAGACTTTATAACAAATATGAAATTAATGCCTACGTAATTTATACCTGACGCATGCCAAATGTTAAGCGATGTTGAACGTTACGTGTAAAAAGTACACCCAGTTTTATCCTCAAAGTGCTAACTTGCACAGGGACGAGTGCGTATTATAGTTACACTTGAGCCAAAAATTCTTACCCGATCATGACGAGATAACGAGTGGCTTTCCTGTTTTCTGATGACAAGATTTATTTACGTTTAAAACAAAACCACTTGTTAACGCACTATATGAAGTATTTTATTTGGTTAAATTACAGTCAAAACTAACCTTTTCAATTACTAACGAAAAAATAGAATAAAGTAGCCAAATGTTTGTAAGTACTACAACGCTGAATGTCGATCGGGTCATATATGCACTTCATAATTAGTCTGTTTACAGCTTCGGTCAAGTCTTAAATACTGAAAACACAGCGTCAGTCGAGTCTTAAATATAGCAAAGATCGTGTGTTAAACACAACGACGGTCAAATTTTAAATATATCAAAGGTCGTGGTAAACACAGCGTCGGTCGAGTCTTGAACAACATTATTCGAGTCTTAAATATGGCATCAGTCGAGTTTTAAATGCAGCGTTTATCACTAATGTCTACAATTCAAGTCCTCCCGAAATCACAATTGTTATGTACCTCATTGTTTAATGCTAGTGTATATAGTGCGTGAAATGCGTTCCATAAGCAACGAAAGATTTCAAAGAGGTGTTTAGTCATATTCCTATTATATTTCCGTTTCCTTAATAGGAATTCGTTTCAATCTATCGCGCTACATCTTATTCTTTTTTTCATCACTGATTACACGTGCAGTTAGATGCAAAACTGACTAAGAAGCGTCTTGTATTATTCAATTTTGCAACCTGCACGTGCAAAATTTTGTGGGAGTTGATTTCTCAGTGACATATTATTTTGGCTTTCATACAATACCGACATTTTGGACACTGCGTACAGTACACAAGTAATATACGTGGATACCTATTTCCAGATTATGATAGTATCCATATTTAACTTATACATTATCGCCATTCTTATTATCTACATTTTTTGTTCTTGTTGAATCTAAAGATACAGTATAGTTACTTGGTGCTATTTGGAAAGCTTTTCAGCCACTTTCCTGATTCGGGATTTGTCCTACGAAAATAGGGATGGGAATACATGGTACATATAGTGTGTAATTTATGAAACACAAGGAAAATGAACTCTCCAGGTGTAACACTCTTTCATATATATTAGATTCATTTCATCGGCATTAGATAGGTGCACCTGCGATGCAATTTTACACTTACTTTGTTGAATTTTTATTTACAAGTGGTTTCTTTAATCATGACTACAGGTAAATATCAGTTTACATTCTTGTTTAAATTATCATGTCCTCAGTGACTGTATAATTTGCCTTTCCTCTCCTAGATAACTTATAATCAAACAGCCACAGATCAAAAATATACTTTTGTGTGATTTTATTTTAATGTTTGAGTGTGAGTCAAATGCAACAATGTATTTTAAAAGTTACCCTACTGTAAATAACGTCTGTTCTCTTCGGTTTTACCACAAGGTACTATCCCTAAAATTATTTTGATTGCCTTACTACTGTATATGGGATAATTCACTTCACCTTTTATCTTCAAGCAGTTGAATATTAAGGGTAAATAGCGCCATGGGCGATGACAAAGGCCCAAAAGTTTTGGTGCCCCCAAACCTCTTGCACCCGTGGTTTTGGCGCTAGCGTTCGGGGCAACGTGTTCTGGCACCCCAAGACCTCTGACGCCAAGGGCAATGACCCCGTTTACCTCCCTCTCCCCCGTTTGCACCCGTGGTTTTGGCGCTAGCGTTCGGGGCAACGATGATGGCCCAAAGGTGTTCTGGCGCCACAAGACCTCTGACGCCAAGGGCAATGAACCCGTCTACCTCCCTTTCCCCCGTTAATAGGATACAGTATACTTGAAGGCATCTTTACAACGGATATGGTAGCTTTCTTAACATGAGCAATGAGAAATGTATGATACAGTCATTAGTGCCATTAGGCGTTCTTATATTAACGGTATCATACGATTGAGATTGATCATATATAACAAAATTATTTTTCCCGGTTTGTTGGGCACTTGCTCGTGTGTTCCTTCTGTATACAGGACTTGTAACATCTTTTTCCCATTTATTTTTGGTACTGTTTCTGGTTCCTGTGAACCCCCTATCACGTAGTTTCCGTTTCTTACCGTGTTTAACCCTCCATCTATCGCCTTTTCCTCTGCGTACCGTTTCATATCATAGCGTATCGTACTATTTCGTACCGTTGAAGTTAGTTTGTCAGCGTCTCGACAGTTGTAGTTACTGAAATTCGGTTAAATAGCGACAACCCGAAAGCAGAGACGATACCAAACATCTGAGCTCAGAGTCGATACGATTCAGTTTTCACAAAGGTAATCTACTAATCGCAACTTCTATTAAGACAAATATCTACTCTAAATATTGAAAACACCTGTTTAAATATTTTTGTACGATACTTAATCATTGTCTGCATAATATGTGTGTAATTTAAATTTTTAACGCAGCTTTAAAACATTTTCATTCATATTGCTACGATGTCTGCACTATGACAGCTTATTGTGATGTCTAGCACTGGGTCTTCGTCCCTCAGATATGTAGCATGATGTCCCACCCAGTCACATTATCTTGACACCAGGCCAACCAGTCCCAACATTAACAACTTGATGCCGAGCATCTAACAATGCAGCTGTTAGTACTATTATTATAAGTCTTTGGTATGAGGCGACCGGGGTTCGAACGCGCAACCTCCGGCATCAGAGGCGGACGCCCTAACCACAAGGCCACTGGAAAGGTCCCGTCTGCATACTAGTATAGTTTTATCTTCGTACCATTTCCAGCCGCTTCATTACCGCTCATAATGTTTGCATACCTGCTGTCTTCGTACGTTTCCATTGTTGCCGAGGGGTCTTAAGCGCTTTCCGTTACGGATCACTGCCATCTCACCTCTTTCTGCGTGGGTTCGAATCTAAGATTCGCGAATGTGGATATGTGAGAAAGCTTGCCAGTAGCTTCTCGTGGGTCGGTGGTTCTGCCTCCACCAATAATACTGGCTGCCATGTATAGCCTATCGTGTGCTGAAAAATGGCGTTAAGCCCCAAGACAACAACAACAAAGCAAAAACATTAAAACACTGAATGTGATGAACCTCAATTACCTTCAGAATATTGGCAAAATTATTAATGCGGTTGTTTTGGGTGGTGGTTGTGGTGGTAGTGGTGGTGGTGGTAAGACGTTTGAGCATCGCATACAAAAAAGTTTATAAAAAATGTTTACAATCATTTTGATACAAACAATCAATGTTACAAGTTCCAACTGGGTTATCTTCAAGGTCAAGGTCATTCGTTTTCCAGTTTGGGAAATGTAATAATGATTGTCACACATTAAAAGACATAATACATTATCTGTAACGTTTCAAAAGCTTTCGAGAGAGCCTCTAATTCAGAATTCATTTTTGGATGACGTCCATGATACAGGTGATGATTGATTTTAATATAAGCCTCTGTTTTGTTATAAAACGGACAATATGACACTTGTAGTGTGGTCTATTTTGAAAACAATTTTTACAAATTAAATCTTAATTACAAGTTTAATTATAGAGAAATTTAATTTTTAATGTTCGATGTTTAGCCATAAAAGTTGGACATATTGTGTGATGGTTTATTGTTTGGACATATAGAATGTGAATAAGCACAAATTCCTCACAGCACAAAAATATACGTCTGATGTTAACTGTATCAGACGGACATTCGTTTAAGTTGTAATCAGGGATGTACGGTCTGTCTAAAAACAGAGGTACGTTTGAAATACGTGATAATATTTTGTTATCGTTATTTTTATTATCCATCATCTAGTGGTTCCGTTGTTTTTTATTATCTTTGTTTTTCCCATTAATCTTGTCGAATATAGTAATGCCAGCATAGAGTCGTGATAAATTATGACAATTTTAATCGCACATATCTTCAATAGAACTGGTCCTTCACTGAAGTTAGGTATATAATAACACAACGACACGTAAAGAATTTATATTTATAGAACTCAGCAACAAAAAAAAACAAGTAAATGTATTCAAGGTGTATTTATCATTCGTTCATTTACTTATTTAATACACGTTTTTGCTGCATGAAACTTTTACACATGAGATGCAATTTTACACTCATGTATTTCATGGAATGTTAATTTAATTCTGCCAGATGAAGAAAATCAAATTTCTTTATTTTGAATCATAAATGTCATCACCGATGACATATTTTCTTATTTCATTTTTATTGTCCTTTAATGTCCACATTAAAATTATATGAGACTGTACACGAATTTCTATACTCATCTCAATCGCTGCTGAAAGCAGAGGTAATCCTTTCAAGATGACTGCATTACCAAAGCTTTTGAAAGCAAAGGTAATTATCTAAAGATGTCTGCATTGCCAAAGATACTGAAAGCAGAGGTAATTCTATTAAGATGACTGCATTGCCAAAGCTTCTGAAAACAAAGGTAATTCTCTCAAGATGACTGCATTACCAAAGATTCCGAAAGCAAAGGTTATTATCTTAAGATGACTGCATTGCCAAAGCTTCTGAAAGCAAAGGTAATTCTCTCAAGATGACTGCATTGCCAAAGCTTCTGAAAACAAATATAATTCTCTCAAGATGACTGCATTGCCAAAGTTTCTGAAAGCAAAGGTAATTCTCTCAAGATGACTGCATTGCCAAAGCTTCCAAAAACAAAGGTAATTCTCTCAAGATGTCTGCATTGCCAAAGCTTCTGAAAGCAAAGGTAATTCTCTCAAGATGACTGCATTGCCAAAGCTTATAAAAGCAAAGGTAATTCTCTCAAGATGACTGCATTGCCAAAGCTTATAAAAGCAGCAGTAATTCTCTCAAGATGACTGCATTGCCAAAGCTTCTGAAAGCAAAGGTAATTCTCTCCAGATGACTGCATTGCCAGAACTTCTGAAAGCAAACGTAGTTCTCTCAATATATCTGCATTACCAAAGATTCTGAAAGCAAAGGTAATTCGCTCAAGAATACTGCATTACCAAAGCTTCTGAAAGCAAAGGTAATTATCTCAAGATGACTGCATTGCCAAAGATTCTGAAAGCAAAGGTAATTCTCTCAAGATGACTGCATTGCCAAAGCTTCTGAAAGCAGGGGTAATCCTCTCAAGATGACTGTATTGCCAAAGCTTCTTAATGCAGAGGTAATAATTTGAAGATGACTGCATTGTCAAAGCTTCTGAAAGCGGAGGTAATCCTCACAAGATAATTGTTTTTAATTTAAGCTTCTGAAAGCATAGGTAATCCTTTCAAAGTCACTGCATTGCCAAAGCTTCTGAAAGCAGAAGTAATCCGTTAAAGATAACGGCATTGCTAACACTTCTGAAAGCAGAGGTAATCCTCACAAGATGACTGCATTGCCAAAGCTTCTGAAAGCAGAGGGAATCCTTTCAAGGTTACTTCATTGCCAAAGCTTCTTAAAGCAGAGGTAATTCTCTCAAGATGACTGCTTTGCCAAAGCTTCTGAATGCAGAGGTAATCCTTTCAAGATCACTTAATTAGAACTTTTACTACATGCCTATTTAATATTATATGACTGATCTCTCGATCTATACAGTTGTTCAGTCTGGAATTTCGCATTTAACACCTAAAATTTCGGTATCTTACTCCCAGATTGGAACTACTTTTACAACTAGTCCACTCGTAAAATATCCGAAATGATTTATTACTATCCATTTAAAATAATGTAAAAAAACCCAGCACACTGTTGTAATTTTAAGAAATGCAGTCATATTTGGTGCCAATGTCCGCTTTGCTGCTGAAGATATTGCGAGAGTACCGTAAGTGACGACGGGCAGTTTTGATATGTATTTCACCGTATCTAGGCCGAGAAATTTTAATTATTTGAGGTGGACAACAATATCTTCGTACAGAATGTTTGACAATGGGTTCTCAGATGACGATGGCGTGCGAATAGACACTAAACATATATGAGAGAGAGAGAGAGAGAGAGAGAGAGAGAGAGAGAGAGAGAGAGAGAGAGAGAGAGAGAGAGAGAGAGAGAGAGAGAGAGAGAGAGAGAGAGAGAGCAGGGGAATGGATGGATGAACCATGGATGTTTGTAACTTGTTTTGAGCAGAAATATACATGACACTATAAATCTTCACAAATGACTCCACGACAGGCAATTTCACGCAAATAACTCTGAGATATGTTTATTCTCAGCAAGGTTCCTGAATCGGATCAATTATCATAACCATATAGATACACGATGATACTATTAAAATTTCTAAGGAATGTGGATTTGGCAATAAATCATAATTTGCCTTTGTAGACTTTTCACTTCAAACAGAGAGAGAGAGAGAGAGAGAGAGAGAGAGAGAGAGAGAGAGAGAGAGAGAGAGAGAGAGAGAGAGAGAGAGAGAGAGAGAGAGAGCTGGCATCTTGTATTGAAATTACTAAAAATTCAGACAAAGTAAGAAAGACTTAGAGTGATCTTCAGATTCAAGGCATGGTTAGAAAAGAGCCACGTTTGCAACACTTGTACCCACGTTTAATTCTCAAGGTGACGTTCCACAAGGCAAATCATCTAAATTAACAAATCATTTTTAGTTTACAAAATAATGGTCTGCAGAATTCTGTTTTTAAAAGAAGCAGGGTTGAAGAGGGGAGGGCGTAAAATTGGTTCATTATTATGACATAGGACTTGAATCTGTTTGGTAAATATGAGGAAAAAAACTGCCAACATTTGCAACATAAATATGGACGTATCACAGAGCTGCAGCTGTTTTGATCATGATGTAAATTTACAAGAATTACATCTTGTAAGAATGTGTTGAGACTTTATTTAAAAGGTCACACACAGCGAACTACATATTTACATTATAAGGTTTTGTTTTAAGGAGGAAATAAAGACAAGAAAACAAAATAATCTTGCAGTATTGTTTAGAATTTACTTATCAATTATATCCAAAGAAGATTAAAACTCTAGCTTGCGTGTTAGAATGAGACTGATTTCGTTCAAACGTATGCTTAAAATATGACTTTAAATTCAATGCATCTGCAATTTCTTTTATTACATAAAAATACAAAATAAAAAGTTTGAATGTTCGATGAATGCATGAGCGTTTTGTATAATCTTGAATGTACATAATTACTGTTAGACTGTAAAATATGCCCTGAAATTTGCATGGAAATAAAGTGTCTATTTACTAAGTAGATTGTAAGGAAAAGGTCCCTTACTGGTCAAGACCATGTTCTATTTGCGAAATAAGAAAGAAATTGACCCATACAGCATTTGTAAATATTCAAAGCTAATCCGTATTTCTACAATGCATGCAACTCGATGACGTCATATTTAGTTCCAAGCCCAGATACGTACTTGCTGATGCTTGTACAATATCTTTCATAAAACGCCAAATACTTAATACAGTTTTTTAAATGTAAACTTTTAAAAAATGTAAAAGAGTGTGTGAATAAAAACGGTGATAAATACAAAACCATACAAAATGTCTTGTTCTCAGTCGGGGAAAGATTTTGATACGTGCATCGACATTCCTACATCGTTTTAAACTAGTTTCTTTCCGCACGCTTGGAACAAAGCATGTATGTAGTTTTGTCTATATATTACTGTATATGATGAAATTTCACATTAGAAAAAAAGTATAAAATTGTTTCGTGTATGCAAATAAATTCTATATTTTTTAAATAGTTCGTTATTTTTAGAATCAGAAGATAAATAAATATTTTACATAAAAATGCACTGAAAATAAAAATCTTAACTGCCACAGGCATA